GACGCTTATTCTTATTTCTTTTCTTCCATCGAATAGAACTTTAAAAACACTTATCTAAATGCCTTTTTTTTTGGCCTTCTTGAGCACCACAAGATGCAATCAAAGGAGTTGGCCAGACTCCACATGTTATACAAGCATCAACTTCAGATTCCCTCTCCTTTTTCTCTAAAATTATTTGGAATGACAGGTTTGGTGGGCTAAGAATTAAGAAATTTCACTGCTCAAGGCATTAGCCTACACCCATGGGGGCAGCATGTCCCTATTCTGCTCAGATACTCTTGAGACACTGCTGTCCATAGCATGGGCTAAGGAGTCAGACTGAGCTGCACTTGAGATCCGACACCATCATTTCGTGGGCCAAACTGAACCACGTGCCTTGATCCAGGTTGCTCAGCATCTCTGTGATTTAGGTTCCTTACCTATAAAATCACAATGACCAGATATCAGTTGTTGTCAAGTCCATTCTGAACCATGAGACCCTATGTTGTGTAGAGTAGAACTGTGAACCACAGGGTTTTTGTTGTTGTTTTTTTGTTTGATTTTACAAACACACTGTGTTTCTTCTGAGTAGGTTTGAAACACTAGCCTGGTAGGTTTTATTCCCCAACCTTTTAGTTAGTAGTCATGCATGTAACCATGTGAACCACCCAGGGCCTACTTAGAATGATAATACTACCAAATGTGTCAGACTGTGAGGATTAAATGAGATCTCTGTGTGATGCACTAAGGACAAACTCAGAAACAAAGTAAGCTTTACAAAACAGGTAACTGCTGATCGATGAGAGTAATAGGGATAAAGATGGCAGAAGAAATATGTCAAAAGTAATGGAGAATTATAAGATCTAATTTTGAGACCCTGTATTTTTCTTGCTGAATACCTCAGGAACTTGAGTTTTCTGGTCTAGTTTTGATACCTCAACATTTAGACTCGTTTGTGTAGAAAAAGCAATCATGTTTTGCGAAGACATGTGCTTGCCACTGTTGTGTCTATAGCATTGGCGGGTCTGAGAAAAGGGGATTCCATCTTCTTCATCCAATCATTAGGATGGAGGGGTAGTATCACCCGAGGCCAAAACTGTACAGACTGTCTTCCAGGCCAGGAGCTTGTGTGCTCCTGAGGAAATCCATTCACTTCTTGCTCTTCTGCTTTGGGAAATACCAACCTACTCCCACCTACTCAGCACTGCTCACAAGGGCTTAGAGGTCTGCAGGGGGACATGCATGGCTTCCATGTTTTTACTGCCCCTCGTATGTTACAGTGGGAGTTAGACTTGTGTTTGTTTTGCTACAGAACACGCTTCCAGTGAAATTTGGTTCCAATAAATGCCTTACTGGAGAGAAGGAAAGAAGCGGATAAACTCACATAAGATCTTACTGTTTCATGATTTGGGACAGAATCCTCTATGTTGGCCCCAATGTCGGACTGTTTTTCTTGGAGCTGGGAAACTGGGCCAGCCATTGCCCTTGAGGCTTTTGAAAAGAGTCGCCTTTATTTTACTGTCTTATTCAAACTGTTGAAAGTCTGAAAGAATTAAAAATATTAAGACACTTCAATTATATGTCTTCTGGATGAGAAATCATATAAAATCTTCATTAATTAAGAAATAGGCTCTGCTCATCCAGATGATTGTTAATAAAGACTTCTTTATGAAAGCATCCTTTGACTCTGAAGAAGGTAGAACTGGGGTGGGAGCAGCAAGACATTGTAACTCACTCCCATCGTCTTGGAAATCCCCGACCATGCTCCATTGGCTGTTTCCATTGGCTACCTATGAAAGTTCAGGTTCAGGATTAGATTGCTTCTTTAGATCAGCATAAGGTTTCCACATTGTTAAGTCTAGGAAAGGGTGGATACTAAGTTTGGTTTTAGTTCAGTTGAGGCAGTGGCTAAAATTAAAGGGAAAACAGAAACCTCTAAGCTGTTGAGATTTAGTCATTGATAGAGCTTTGGGAGTAAATTCGTATTTTGCTACTCATTGCCTGGCCAGGAAACAAATCTATTTTGTTTGGATCTGAGTAGTAGTTTGGGGGTGGGGGTAAGGGTGTGTGTGTGTGTGTGTGTGTGTGTGTAGGGAACATATTGACGACAACAGCTTAAAACATGAAATTGTTTTTATTCCCAGTTTGGAGAAATTGCAGGGCACGTTTTGTTCAGGCAATCCCTTTGACTCCAAACCGGTGGGTACACTCCCCCTCATCTCCTCCCCAGAGACCGATTTTATTACCAAAATCGCAGACTTGTCAGACTCTTGACAACCTCTCCCCTCTGAAACCCTTAATAGCTTTGCAGATGATTATTGTAGCTCCGTTGTTCTGTCTGTCTGCGGGAAGAGGGGATGAGTCTGCAGAGAGGAACGGTTATATATCAAAGACCCAGTATTCCCGTGCCCTGCCGCTCTGAGCATTCCTTCTGCACCTGTCCTTCTGGTACTGCAAGAGGGAGCCAGTCACCATCTCTCTGAAATCACCGTTCACCCCAAAACTGAAACCTCACTGCCATCAAGTGGATTCTGACTCCGAGTGACCCTGTAGGATAGAGTGGAACTGTGTGCCTGAGGGGTTCCAAGAGTGTAACTCCTGATGGGAATAAAAAGCTGTGTCTTTCTCCGATGGAGTGGGTTCCAAGCTGCCGATCTTGTGGTTAGCAGCCCAATGTGTAACCACTAGGCCTCCAGGGTTCCAGCAAACAACCATGCTGCAGGATGCATTCATTTGCTTTCTTGTCTTTTTTTTTCCTTTGCTGGGATTACTAAGAAGTTCTATAATTATTTATAAAACATTCCATGGGTGTTTACACAACTGAGAGAATTGTGGTGAAAGAAGATAAAGCTTAGGGTGCTCTTGTAGGCACTATGTACTAGAGAAGAAAGATGTACTTGGCCTGCTATGTTCTGATGAGTAGATTCTAGGATCCAAGGCCATGCACTTGACCTTCATCAGGACTGAACATCAGCTGGGTGAGTTTCTTGAAAGGGGATTACAGCCTCCCCATTCTCAAGACAAAAAGAAGGAGCTGTTTTTCTTAGGGATGAGCACACCCCAGTGTCATTTGGCAGAGCATCGCAACAACTTTCAGATGTCAGTTTGGGGCAAAACTGGAAATGCATCTGCCCAGTACATCTTGCACTGATTACATGGAACCTGTGTTTCTGATTCATTTACACAGAACTCATCTAGGGGGTATTGCAAGAGCTATGTAATGGCCAAATGAGTCTTCTACTTTATATTTCAAGCAAGTTTCTCTTACTTGTCTCTTGCAGCCAAGAGGTTGCAATCTTCCAACCGTGTGACAGACTTCACATAGACTCCATAAATCTGAGAGCAAGTTCTAACCTTGGCGTGGGAAAGACCTGCTCTGACCCTGAGGGTCCAGTTAAAAAGCGGGCCATTCGGGGTCTGGTCTTGGGCTATCTGATGAGTGAAAAGCATGGCTGTGGAAACCTAGCACTTTAGGATGCTATGTTTACATACCACGTGTTTATGTGCCATGTGGCACACAGTCCCAGCGGGGGACTTTCCAGCTCCACAGCAGCATCTGTGCTCTTTTGCCCCCTCAGTTTCATGAGCACACAGAAGCTCTATGATCACCTTTCTGAGACATAGGGAGGCCAAGCTGACAGGAGCATGGACGCTCAAGCCAGTCTACCGGAGTCTGCGACCTAAAGGTTCACTGGCATTGAGCGCGTCGTGAAACCCTCTGTGCACCAGGTGTTCCTGTCTCTAACGAGCTGCCTCTGACTAACACCTACCCCCAAGTTAATAGCGTGAAGCAATGACCATTTGAGTGCTCACAACATTGTGGGTCAAATATTTGAGCAGGGCCCACCTAGAAAAGAGTGGCTCTGACCCACGAGGTATTGAGGCTGACTTAAAACTAGAAGTCACAAGATGGACAAGGTGGTACCACTCACATGGTGAATGCATTGGAGCTACTCTCTCCATGTGCACTCGTCTACCCTGGGCTGCTGCTTCTTTTTTTTGTGGATCAAAAGGTAGTTTATTTGCCAACTTACTTATATTTTAACTCTTTGTTATTGATTTAATTCTTTTTAATCATTTTACTAGGGGCTCGTACAACTCTTATCACAATCCATACATCCATCCATTGTGTCAAGCATATTTGTACATTTGTTGCCATCATCATTCTCAAAACATTTGCTTTCTGCTTGAGTACCCTGGGCTTCTTTATATTCCAAATAGGAACTTTAGAATTGAACATTGACGGAAAGTGCAAGATGCAAGGTCTCATAAAGTCTGTCACATAGTTTGACTCCCATCACATAATATTGGATAAGTCAGAGGACCAACCCAGATTCACCCTTCATTACTGGCCATTTCAAACTCTTAGCACACCTACAGAACACAAGAGAACTGCCGCCTGTGGTTTTCCGACACTGAAACTCTTGACAGAAGTGGAAAAGCTCGTCTTTCTCCCGAGAAGCAGCTGGTGGCTTGGAACAGCTAACCTTGTGGTTAGCAGCCCAACTCATAACCACTGTGCCAACAGGGCTCCAGCCCAGAGTCAAAGGGAGCAAAAATAAACTTCATCTCGTGCTAGGAAGAGTGTCATGCACATACAAAGAAGAAAGGAATTGCTAGTACCATATGGACAGATAGATGGCCACTGGAACGATACATAGAACCAATTTTATAAGGTTATTGTCAGGGTTAGCTGAATTAATTAAGTAGAATCTTTAGCACAGTGACTGGTACGGAGTTAGTTTTTTGCTCCTTAAATTATAAGCTTTCCAACAACCATAGATCTTGATGACAAACCATCTCCCAACCCAAGGCCCATACACACCAGTTCTATCTAGTCATGAGACACATTTGGGCCATGCCTGGGTGCCTCTTGTTCTGTGTCACCACATAATCTTAACTTTGCTTTCCTGTGGAATGCGCCTGTCCCTCCCTGTACGCTGTCAGACTGTCTTGCAAGGATCATGCCGGCTGGATGCTGTTGGCTCCTCATTGACCATGTCATGTGCTGAATTCTTCAGGTAACCATAGAAGTGGTTGACGGTCCTGACTCTGAAGCAGATAAAGACCAGCATCCAGAGAATAAACCCAGCTGGTCAGTTCCACCCCCCGATTGGCGAGCCTGGTGGCAGAGGTCCCTGTCCTTGGCAAGAGTGAACAGCGGGGATCAGGACTACAAGTATGACAGTGCCTCAGAGGACAACAACTTCCTCCACCCGCCCAGGGCTTGGGACCGTCCAGCCCCTGGCCACCAGACGTTTGATACCAAAGATCAGCCAGAATATGGTGAGTTTACCACCCGTGTTAAAACATTAGTGAGGAGAATCCATGAGGATGATGACGCTTAAGGACATGGAGCCATACAAAACCCAGATTACAGCTTGAGGCTTTGGGTCTTCTACGAAGCATACCTCACAGCAACTGCATTCCACAGAAGCCCCAAGGAGGCACCAGCCGCCACATAGTTTCTGGAAAGACTATCATTTAAAAATCATATCAATTATCCAAAGATAATTTTTTTAGTTAGGGGTCTTTGGAGTCCTGCCTTAAAAAAATGTTTTTCTAAATTAACTTCCTTGGGTTTCTTACTGTAAAAAAAAATCATATTAAAATCAATTTAGAGATATAGCCAGTTGTTTCTTATAACTAGGTTCTATATTGTATTTGACATTGACAGGAGATTGAGAAGTATATCCCCCAGGATTCTTCTACATGAGCATGTGTGTTTTGTTAAAGTATGGACACACCCTAATATATTTCAAGAGCCGGAACCAGGGCTTTTCATTGCCCCACATTTATCGTAGGATTGCTGACATAGCAAACAACTTCAAATTCAGTGACATAAAAACCACTAAGTTTACTCTCACCTTGCGATGAGAAACAGCTTGGGGAATCTTGACTCTACTCAGTCATTCACTGACCCAGCATTCCTCCATCTGGGAGCTCCACCAACTTGGAGGACCTGAGAGTTATCTAGTGCACGTGCTACATCTGAATGGTAGCCAAAGAAAGAGAGTATGCTGGTGAAAGACATGCATAGGCTCTCAACTACCGCAGGGGGAGGTGACACATTCCATCTGTTCAAATTCTTGGGGAAGGCCATGTAACCTGTACATGGTACAAGAAAGGATCCCTGGTGGTATGGTAGTTATGTACTGGGCTGCTAACTGCAAATCAGTCGTTGAAAGCCATCAGCCAATGCTCTGGAGAAAGATGGGGCTTTCTCCTCCCATAAGGAGGTACAGTCTCAGAAACTCCCAGGGGCAGTTCAACCCTGTCCTATAAGGCCAAGAGAATTTGGCATAGACTCCAGGGTGTGAGTGAGTGAGTGGCAAAGAAGGCTGGGAAATGGATACCGTGCAATAAGAGAATTGGTAAGCATCTGTCAAAGAATTATATAAATGCTTACAGGTATTGAAAAAAAGGGTGTTACTGTCAGAGTTATTATAGGACTTCAATAAGCACTTACAGCCTTTCACTCAGTGGTAACCATTGTCATCTTGGATAAGTGATGAAGGCTTGTCAGGAGTCAGGCCAAGATCCAAGTCACTTCCGTTGTCCTGACACTTATCTGACCCACGGTACTCTAGTTCTCTGAAAGAATACGGATACCACTTTAAAATGACACGTGGCGTCTTCAACACCCAGTTCTCAGTGCACTGCACGAGGCTTGTTTTCCTCCCTCACCGAGTTCTTGGCTGACTCCAGCAGGGATTGCCAAAGCACTGTCACAGCGGCTGCTTCTTACTGCCATTGTTCATATCTTTGCAATGACTATTCATTTTCTGCTCTGAGAGGCGAGTGGGTCAGAAAAAGCATTATATGTCAGAGTTTTATCCCATATTCAGAAATCTCCTGTCTGTCTTTTGAACACATTACACAAATATAAAGTCTCCAAGAGGGCCACCTTCGGCCGGATTCTCATCTGAGCTGAGAGTCTGTGGAGGCTCCGGGTGGTAAGCTTTTTCCTACATCACGTCATGACTGTCTTCAATAGAAAGGATTGTAATATATCTGTTAGATGAGTATTTATATGTATATACATATATAACTTTATTTAATCATTTTATTGGGGGCTAGTATAGCTCTTTTTATATATATAATCGCTTTATTAAGGGCTCTTACAACTTTTGTTACAATCATACATCAATTGTATCTGACATATTCCTACATATATGTCATCGTTCTTTTCTAGACATTTACTTTCCATTGAGCCCTTGGGATCAGCTCCTATTTTTTCCCTCCCTCCTCCCTGGCCCCCACACCTCATGGACCCTTGATAGATTGTAGATTGTGAATTATTTTCGAATCTTACATCGACCGCTCTCTTCCTTCCCCTCTGGTTTCTGTTGTTTTTCCCCTGGATGGGGGGGTGTGGTTATGTGCCATTCATTATGATCGGAGTCCTCCTCCCTCCCCACCTCTCCCTCTCTTCCCCCTACCCTTTTGGTATCTCTAGTCCCACTCCTGTTCCTGGGGTCCCTGTGTTGTGAGTTTTATCTCCTGCCTATACCTATGTACATGCTCCCGTCTACTCTAGAATGGGGTCATGATAGTGGAGTAGTGGGGTGGAGGGTCTCAAGGTATCAGAGGTGACCCTTTAGTGCTCTACTGTACCCTGTTTGACTCATCTCCTCCTTGCGACCACTCTGTGGGTGGAGGGTCTCCGCTCCAACCCCCCTCCATTCTCACCAATGCATTTTTGTTTGTTTGTTTACTGTTTGTTGTGAGTCTTCTAATGCCCGTTCCCCGGTCTCCATGAAACCTCATGATCACCCCAGCCGGCGTGCTTCTTCCACGTATGCTTGTTGCTTCACTGTTGGATGGCTGCTTGTTTAACTTCAAGCCTTTATATAACTTTTTTAGGAAAAAAAACTGTCTTTGGCTTTGCTCAATACTTGCCCTCATGAAGAGATCACTGAAGATACAGGTGCTATAGCAAATGTGGTGAAGAAATCAGATGGTTCCTGGCTATGAGAAAAATAGCATCTGGGGTAACAAAGACTTGTCGTAAAACAAGCAGCTATCTAAGTGAGGCACCAGCTAAGTCTTCATGGAAGAAGCACACCACCCTGTGTGATCCAAGGATTGTAAATTATGAAATCCAAATCCAGAGGAGGCAATATTATTAAAGCTTAAATTATGAATCCCTGGTTTTGCAAAAGGCTATGAATGACCGTGGAAACCCACATTCCTTCGCAGTGGCCCCACGTGGGTTAAGCCTCTGGTGAATTCCCTCTCACTATGGACTAAGGATGTGAATGGCCTTGCTATCAGACAGAATGCATTGTAGGGTGGATTACTGCAGATGGGGTTTGGTTACAATGTGATGGGGTTTGGTTACAACTTGACACCGTATCATTTTGTTTCCCTTTTGACCCATGTTATATTTGTTCCAATTTTTAATATTTTCTGCTTTCTTTATATTGAGGTTTTCTCTGTTTTATTTTATCATTGTTATTGGGTTGTTTTGGTTTTGTAGATTTTTCTGTATATGAAATCCAGGGTAGTAAATCTGTAGAGACAGAAACTGGATTAATAGTTTCCTGGCGCAAGAGGGAGTTTGGGGGGATATAAGGAGCTAAGAACAATAAAGACAGATAATTGCATAACTCATCTAATATGACTGGACTACTGGATTGTATATATGAATTACATGTCAATAAAACTGTTTAAAAAAATAGACCCAGAAAGAAATAGATTAACAGTGACTACAACAATGAGCTCAAACATAACAACAATTGTGTGGACTGTTTGTTCTGTTGTAATTAGGGTCCCTGTGAGTCAGAACAGATGCAAAATCACCTAGCAACATCATCATATTGCATTTATATCATTATTGTATAAACTTATTTATATATTGTTCTTAAATGTACTCATGTAAATCTTCATCATTGACATCATACATAAATAATACTGTCTTTGTGAATATTTAAAACACTGACCTGATGGATGAGATGAAGACTGCTTCCTGGGATAGTAAATTCTTAATGGTACCTGAGGCTAACCCCATCAAGAGAGCTCATTTTAGGGTGAGTTACATAATAAATTTATAACAGTTAGCTTTTACTGCTAGGCAACTGTCTCAAAAGTCAGAGTCTTCAAACTACAAACAGAACCTTCTTCGTGATTTGGTGATGGTCTGGACAGTGTTCAGGGCCGGAATTGGCTTGCTTGGGGCTGCCTAATCGGAGCTGGCCTGGCTCATAATGATGGCGCCTCAGCTGAGACATTGAGCGGGCTGGGGCTTCTCTCCACACAGCCCCTCACCCTCCAGGAGGCTAACGCAGGACCCCCATGTAGAGAAAGGGTGCCATGAGTGGGCAGACCTTAATGCATAAACCATTTTGTGACTTCAGTTTGCGTGAAGCTCGTTATTGCCCATTGGTCAAAGACACATGGGACATGCGGTGCTGGCAGCCTAGGAGAAGTGTGAGAGGGGAGTCACCATCTGGGTAGGAATAAGGGAAACATTTTACGGAAGTCATTTTTTCAAACAATGTGCCCTAGGATTTACATTTAATCATTTTGTTCCAAGAAATAAAATCTAGAAATTACCTCATGCAAATATTCCAATGTAAATTTCGTATGGATTTCCAGTTAAAGGCTAAACTCTCAAATTTGGCAGTTGATACTGCCCCAAATTTGGTCTCTACATTACTGCAGCTGGGAGGAAAGGCTGCAGGAGATTTCTCAATGGTCGAGGCCCCTTTCCTCTTACTGAGCCAAGCGAGACACCACCTGACACCACTGGATTACTGTGTACAGTGGTCTCCACCTCCAGTGATGTCAACACTATTTAAATGTGATTTAAAGAGCTTTTTTTGATAAGCCTACTTCATACTTTTACGTGTCTAAAAGCATTATAATTCTAACTTGTCACCCTTTTTGTCTTGGGTCTTCTGACAACAACAAAGGGTGTTGGTCTCAGTGGTATGTGCAGCATGTGATTGAGTATGTGCGTATGTGTATGTTGAGCCCGTGGCTGCAGCATAGCCCTGCTAATGAGGATGTGATTTTGAGATTTTTCCAGTCACCTCTCTGAGGTTCTCAGGGAGATCCCTGGCTGGATCCAAGACTGTGGAGGTCTCAGAACAACAACTACCCTACCTCTGGCTTTTTTCCCTCTGGAAGCATCTTGCCGCCGCGTTTCTGTGTCAATGCCTAGGAAAAAGTGGTAACGGGAAGGAGTCTGAAGCTGGAGAAGCAGGCCCACTTCCCTCACATAAGGCAATGGTTTCAAACATCTGCCTTGGCCGTGTGGTTGGAAAATCATGACTTAAAAGAAAATCAAAGTTCGGAAAAATTATTTTTGGGAGGGGGAGACATGGATGGGGCTCCTGGGGGAGGAAGGAATGAGACAAACTGCCCCAGGCTCAGGGAATAGGATACAGCCACGAAGCTCCTCTGGACTCTGCTTAATGAGCTCTGGAGGCTCCACCACCGTGCTTGCCTAGGGAGTGCTCTGAGTGAACAGCACGTAAACAACAGGCTCCAAGGCTGGCACAGGGCCCGCAGTTCAGGTAGAAACATGTGTGCACAGCATTCTTGTTGGGCCTATGTAAAAACAATCACACGACCTGTTTTGAATGACGGTACCTTCCATGTGAGGTAACATGCCTATTGCTCCATCCCTGGCACCAGCCTAGGCCCCAGGGCCATGGAGGCATTTGGGTAGAACCAGAGAAATGGTTACCCTGTGGAGCTGCAACCAGAATAACGCTTGAGAGATTAAGGGTTTGCCGCTGTGACCCAGGGAAAGCTTGGGCTAGATAAGTCACGTGAACATGACAGATCTTCACGATGGACCAGCCTTTCCCATAGTTTCCGGCCCCATCAGTCTGTTTTTCTGTTTTCCGTACTATTCACCAGCCTCTGCCATTCTGTATAATTTCCACATTTATTATTTTTATGGCTTGTCGTTTAATTCTTACTACTAAAATGTTAGTTCACTCACGGTAAGGATCATTGACAGTTTTATTAAATGATGCATCCCAAATACCTAGAATGCCTGGATTATAATAAATACCCAGTTGCCATGGAGTCCGTGATAACTCATGCTTGCTCCATGTGTGTCATTGTAAAATGGTGCTTCGTTAGGTTTCATTGGATGATTCTTCAGACGTAGATCTATGTCTGAAAGGCCTTTCTTCTGAGGCACCTCTAGATAGACTCAAACCATCCGCCTTTCAAGTCATAGGGGTTCCATGGATGGATGTTGAATGATGGTCCCAAAGACCAATTTCTAGACATTTCTAGCTTTAGTATTACATATCAATTTTCTGTTACTATACTACTTGGGGACTTAGAACAGTAGCAATTTATTATTTCTACAATTCTATGGCTCAGGGTTTTAGGCAGGAATCTGCTGGCAGCTCTTTTATTCCTCCTCAAATTAGTGGGTCACTCATTCAGCTGCATTCGGCTGTCCCTGTGCAGGGCTTGAAGATTCAAGAGGGCTTCCCACACATGCCCAGTGCCTTAGGATCCACGTGGCTCTCCACCCATGTGGTCTTGCGGTGGCACGTGTCAGCAAACCCGTTCCAACTCATAGAAACCCTCTATACAGCAGAACGAAAGACTGTCCCATCCTCAGCCATCTTCACAGTTGTTGTGTCTGTGTCTATTATTGCACCCTTCTTTGTAATTCATAGGTCTGAGTGTCTTTCACAATA